GGGTTTAGGGGTTTAGGGATCTGTGGGTGCAGTGAAGGCCTTTGTAAGAACGTCTATGGTAGGATCCGTGGGTAGTATGAGGGCTTTAGGAGGGCACCTAAAGATTTCTGGTGAGGTCGATTTCTGACGGCACATTTTATGATGGGATCGCAGAGTTGGGGCTTAGTGCTTGCTAGTAGGATAGGCTTCAGGTGCTAAAGTTTAGGGTTTCCGGCCGAATGTCGCGCAGAGGAAATGGGAGTTTCAGAACATCCGAGACCTTGATACAACGGAAGTAGCAAAACACTGGCACTGCGGTTTAGCTTTTTGCAAGGACTCTGAACTCTACTGCGAACGGCACAGGCAGGGACACCTCTCGGCTGTGGTGTATCCCAGGGTTAGGCTAGGGCCACGGTTCCTGCACGATGCTATCAGATTTAGGGTGGCTACAGGTTGCAAACGGGCACCACGTCTTCCGGGGAATGCCTTATCGAGAACAGTAGTTGCCACGACGCGACAGTAAAGCTGCTCGAAATCAGCCTCGTTATGCTGTCACTGACCCATGTCTCCAATTGCGATTTGACCCCGAACTCAGATCGTGTTGCGCTGTGAGTGGTGGGATTAACGAACTGACTAGGGGCTTAGATATTTGTCATGTTGGTGAACAGAACACTGCTATAACGGACTTACAACATAGATTAATGCGCTAATCATCGTGTACGATGATTTTTGAACAACGCAGAACAGACCAACGACGTAAAATACCGAGAGCAGGATGGAAGAAGAGATGAGCAGAGTGGTAGCATCATGGCACGATGTCAGACAGTAGCGGCCTTGTCCGGTAGTAGTGGCATATAGAAAGGAAACCATTACATGAATGCATCAACTTGCCAACACACTCAGATGCGAACCAACCCATGCGCTTAGGAAAGTGTAGTTTCAAATGAACGTAGCAGACATACAGACATACGACCAGAACGTTACATCCGCATCTTGTAACCACCGAGAGAGGCAGCATGGGATATCATCCGAATGCCGCGACACCAAGTACACACAACCTAATTTCTAGCATAACATCAATCCATCAGGAGAGCCCCAGGAGCAGACGCGGGGGAGCACGGAGCAGCAGCAGCAGCAAGTCATATTCAAGGTTCTAGGTCCATGAAACCACTCTGCGATAATGTGGCCACATGTAAACAGCTACAGAAAGCTACATATCAAACGAAGCAGAGACTGCAGCTCGGAGTATTGCTCTGCAGCCTCACCCGCCGTCGACGGTCGGAGATCTTATAGTTTGAGATTAGAGTCGGTGATGTGCACCCTTGCACTGGTTTAGGATATCAAAAGAGGAACTGATCTGGGGCGGCGGCATCGCCGAAAGCAAACTGGACCACGTCGCTGTTCGAGGTTCGAACGGTTAGATCGTACCTAAGGTGCATTCGTGTGACTCGTGGTTTAAGACTCCAAAGACACTCAAGGTCCGAAGATGCCCTGAGGCACTTCAGCAACAGCTAAAACATGCCAAAAAAACAACCAGGCTGCTTCAGAGCCAGGTCCTCCAAGGCTTTCATCAGCCGCCGCTGCATGTAGCCGGTTTCGGCCGTCTTCACAGCGGTATCCACGAGGCCCTCGCGACCACCCATGGTGTGGAAGAAGAACTCCGGAGGTTCCAAGCCGGTGTAGAAAGAGTTCGCCACAAAGCCCCGGGATTTGGGCTCCTTGGAACCTTTTGGGAAGTGTGGGAGCGTGCGGTTCACGAAGCCATCCTTGATACGCTGGCCACCCACGTTCTGCTGACCAACACATGCCATCATCTGGCAAAGGTTGATGGGACTTCCCTTGGAGCCACATGTGGCCATGATGCGAGGCTTGTTGAAGAAAGCAAGCTTCTCTTCGCACATGCCACCAACGAGGTCACGGATACGGCCAAGCTCCCCATTCACCAAAGCCTCAAGAGTCTGCTCGGCATTGCAGCCAGGCTTGTTCTCCAGGGTCCCTTTGTTGTATTGGCCAATGTAATTGGCAACCGTCTCGTACTTTTCCCTTGTGATCCGCTGCTTCTCATGCGTGACCTTGCCACCGCCACGGCCATACTCGGCATTAACGTCGTCAATCCCAATAGTGAAGCCGCGATTCATGAGCCAACGGCTAGTCAGCTTGGCAATGCGACTCATGCAGTCCATGGCAGCACGAGCCCCAGAGTCACGAATGAGCCGGAAGAACAGGCCGTTTTTGGCCCCACCCAAGACCTTCTTTCCCAGGTTGCCGCTGAGAAGCTCTGAGTTGCGGAAAAGCACGTAGCCGTCGTTGCAGCAGAACGTCTGGTTCTTCTTGCTGTAGTTCTTCTCTGGAACCTCAAGATTCACAAAGACCTTGGACTGCCGGTTGGGCCGGAGCATCACCGAAATGGCCTGCTTCCCGGTCCAGAGCTCGCAAGGCTTGATGATGGCAGGCGGCGGCAGGTCAATAGCCTCCAAGCCATCAGAGAGGAAGCAGCAAAGCTGACAGAACTTGTCCCTTGACAAGTAGACGTCTTTCTGGGTGAGGAGGAAAGCTCCTGTGAGGAAGTCCTGGGTGGCGCAGACGGCAACCTCCCCGCTTTTCGGCGTGACGAGTCCGTCGCGCACCCCCATGAGCTGCATAGCCTCGGCCCTTGCCTCCTCCGTCTGTGGCAGGTGGATGTTCATCTCGTCCCCGTCGAAGTCCGCATTGTAGGGTGCACAAACACATTCGTTAAATCGAAAGGTTCGTCCGGGCATTACTTTGGCCCGGTGTGCCATGATGGACAATCGGTGCAGGGAAGGCTGCCGGTTGAAAAGGACGACGTCCCCGTTTCGCATGTGGCGCTCGACCAAATCGCCGCACTTCAAGCTCTCGGCGATCTGCTTACGGAACTGCTTCCCCAAAGCCCCCAGGAACTTGGTCCGACCGTCCTTTGTTCTCACGAAGCATGCACCAGGATGCTCTTCGGGACCTCTCATGATGGCTAACTTCAGTCGACTCATACTCGCTTCGCAGACCTTTTCAGGAAAGGTCATCCTTTTCGCCACCCACTCGGGGATCACCACCTGCTCGACGCTGATGTTCGGATCCGGCGAAATCACAGTCCGGCCAGAGAAATCCACGCGCTTGCCACTCAGGTTGCCTCGAAATCGTCCTTCCTTGCCCTTCAGCCTCGTGCAGATGGAGCGGATAGACTTGCCCTTAATCTGGGTGAGCCCGGAGATCTCTGAGTTGACGTACCTGGCGCAAGCCTCCTGAAGGAACTCCCAGGCCTCAAGCACTTGCCTTGGAAGCCCACGTTGCAGCTGGGTCTGCAAAGCAGAGTTGGCCTCGACAATCTCTCCGACGACCATCGTCAGGTCGTCCTCCCTCGTGCCCTTATCACCCATGCTCACCTCGGCTCTCTGCTCTTTTATGCAAATCTTCTTGTTATCTGAGGAAAGAAAGTTGAAAGAGCCTTAATTGCAAAGCCGGAGGGCCGTGGGGCGGATGCAAACGGGCGGCACGGGCACCGACATCAGCAGCAGCTGCTCGGGGTGTTGGAACCCGAGGATCTCTCGGTCACTCGGAGTGATGCGCTTCATCAGCTCGTACCTCTGAAAACAGCGATATAGGGGCGAGGCTCTCCGTAGAGAGCCTAGAGAGCCTACAAGTCGAAAAGAGCCTTACCCTGTTTTGCCGCCTAGAGACGCAACAAGAGGGTTAAAGTCTTCCGAAGCCTTGTCAGTGTAAGACTCCAGATCTTTGTTGAAGGACTTCGCCTCATTGAAGGAATCGATGAAAGGGATCGACACCTCCTCCGAGGTTTGCTTGTTTGTCGGCCCCACAGCATGTCTCAAGATGAGTGGGACACCAGGTCCCTTTCGGAAAGAGCTGTTCTGATAGCCGCAGTGGGGGCAAGCCCGAGTAGACTTGCAAGCGTGCAAGATTCGCTTCTGCAGCATTTGCCGCTGCAAGTCGTCCGTCTGAGGCCGCCTTAAGCGCTTCTTGTACTTTTCCAGCACATCCTCTGCCAGCAGCAACCTGGCGCAGGACTTGCAAACGGAAGCCAGCACCTGATGCGTATGCCGCAGATACCCAGCGTGGAAGACCGGAAGAGCAAGGCTCACGTGGCCGAAATGTCCAACGCACTCGTTTAAGCGCTTACCGCAGGTGCTGCAAAGCACGTTCTTAGAACTGCTGCCCATTCGCAGGTCCAAAGGGCCATACACGAAGGGTCTCTCATTTGCCAAATCGTACTGGGCATAGTTCAAGACCTCAACCTCGCTGTATCGAGAGATTTGATCAGAACTGAGCACGGAGAAGTTGACGCAATCAACTTGATAGTTGCTAAATGCCTCCTGGACAGTCTCCTTCACTATCTTTCCAGCTTCTCCACCATCCTCGTCTGCATCTTGCACATCCTCCATACCTATGTAAGAAACATGGCGATGATTTCCACAGCACTACAGACTTCCTGGTCATGTACTGTTGATGCGGTGTTGGGTTCAGCTTCAGCGAGAGCACACCTTTCTATTCTGGATCTTTCTGGCTTCTGCACCTTCTGTACTTCTGGATGCGTTCTGGAGGTCCTGGGAGCTCTGGTTGGATCGTTTATTGAAAGTGCAGCTGCTCCTGCAAGGGAGCTCGAGCCTTCAGCTGATCTCTGGTTTCAGCTTCCACTGGCTTGCCAAAGCTTCAAGCTTTAAACACTGTGCTGTTCCATCCAGGGGCCCTAGCAGGCAGACACAGTGAGAGCTGTGGAGATGGCTTCTGGAAGATAGACGAAAAGGGCGCGAAAAGTGTTCAATCCGCTCCGCAGAAGCACACGCTTTTGCCGGCGGGGTGTGCAGCTGCACAGATGAATTTCTTGCGCGATCCTCTGCATCTCAAGCTGCCTGAGAAGATCACTCGTCACGCTACATCACACCACGCACTGCTTGAAAACGACACCACAGCCCGCAAAGGTTCTGTCACCTTTGGCCTTTTGCAACTCAAGCACACATTCCAATTCCAAGTACCGGCATTGCATTCTAAACTGCACTCTGCACCACCTGCTCCTGCTCTGGGTCGCGTGCCACGTCGGCATTATCCCCATCGTCGATGTCGAACTCGCCGTTCTCTGCATCTTCTTCCAGAATGCCCTGTGCCCAAGCTGCTGCGATGACTTACACAGCTCACGCATATGCGTCTTGGCACCAGGAAAGCCAGACTACAAGTAAAGGGCTTGGACCGCTTGGACAAAGACTGAAGCGTCTTCGCAGCCGCGAGGGCCAAGGAAACCAACTCTCCGTTACGACAGCACCCCGGAACCCAGTTGCGACCGAAGCGACTGAACTACAGCACCGGACCCATCAAGCTTGGTCTGTAGTCTGTACAAGCCGCGGCAAAGGAGCTTCGGTTTCTTGTTTTTTTGCGCCTGGGGTGCGGCAAACTAGTAATTTCACACTATCTGCCGTTAGCAAGTGCAACAAATGAATGTAGGATAGTTTCGTGATTGCCAGGGCCCCGAACCATGATAAGCTGCTTCCAAAGCTTAAGCGACTGTGCATGAAGCCTCTAGAACCATATAATAATATGAGGATCCAGAGTTAGAATTCCATCAACCGCGCCTGGACCTTCAGCATTGCAGGCAGGAACATAGCCTGGGCAGTCCAAATTTGGAGAAGCTCCCGATTCTCTCGAGACATACGTCCGAACCACGCGAAAAGATCTCGATAACATCTGAACCCGAATCAAGTTAGGCGCCCCGAGGTTGAGAATGCAACTAGGCCTGGTATGTAATCGGTGCACCCAACCACTTGGGAAATAAGGGCTAGGCCGGCTAGGCTCATTTGCCATACCCTCGCACTCTCCGGATGGGTTCGCTCATGCCGGGCTTCACATCAACTTGAGCCTTGTCTGTCGCTCCCTTTCATAGCATCTAGCAGAATGTGCGTGGAACATTCGAACGGACAACAACGTCCTGGGTCCCACATGAAGCCGCATCTGATGCTGAGCCCGGAACCCTGAAAGCTCAGTGTGACACTCAGAGACCTAATGTAGGTGTCGGAACAGTTGGCAAGAATATTCCCTTATACTTCCTAGGTTGTTATAGCAGAACATCCCGGGAAAGCCTATCTTCATCCCCAAATTTTCAAAACCAACTCCATTCAAACCCCCCCTGACATTCTTGGCTGAGCCTGGCACAAAAGGGATCTTCCGCTGCGGACTTAAAGAGTTGCCGGCTGCTAGAGGGACGTCCAGCAACATGGCCAAATCCTGGAAGGGGGCACTAGGCTATTGGGGTTTAGGGCCTTCGGGTTTCGGGCCTTCGTGTTCAGGGTATTGGGGTTTAGGGCCTCAGGGTTTGGGGTATTAGGGTCTAGGGCCTCAGGGTTTAGGGTTTCAGGGTTTAGGGCTTCAGCGTACTAGGGTTTTAGGGTTCGGGCCTTCAGCGCTCGAGGCTTTTGGGACTGTTGGGCTTGGGCGGCTGCTTCGTTCTGCATTAGTTCCCCTAAACCCTAGACCCTTATAGAACCCTAAACTCTAAACCCCTATAGAACCCTAAACCCTAAACCCTTAAAGAACCCTGAACCCTGAACCCTAAACCCCTATAGTTCCCCTAAACCCTAAGCACTGAACCCCCTTAGAACCCTGAACCCTAAACCCTTATAGAACCCTGAACCCTAAACCCTTATAGAACCCTGAACCCTAAACCCTGAACCCTGAACCCTAAACCCTGAGCCCTTATAGAACCCTAAACCGTAAACCCTGAACCCTTGTAGAACCCTGAACCCTAAACCCTTATAGAACCCTGAACCCTATAGAACCCTAAACCCTGAACCCTTGTAGAACCCTGAACCCTGAACCCTTATAGAACCCTAAACCGTAAACCCTGAACCCTTGTAGAACCCTGAACCCTAAACTCTTACAGAACCCCGAACCCTAAACCCTAAACCCTTATAGAACCCTGAACCCTAAACCCTGAACCCTTACAGAACCCTGAGCCCTAAACCCTAAACCCTTATAGAACCCTAAACCCAACTTCTATAGAACCCTGAACCCTAAGCCCTTATAGAACCCTTAGAAGAACCCTAAACCCTAAACCCTTATAGAACCCTGAACCCTAAACCCTGAACCCTTACAGAACCCTGAACCCTAAACCCTGAACCCTTGTAGAACCCTGAACCCTTATGGAACTCTGAACCCTAAACCCTTATAGAACCCTAAACCCAACTTCCATAGAACCCTGAACCCTAAGCCCTTATAAGAACCCTGAACCCTAAACCCTAAACTTTAGAACCCTAAAGCCTAGACCCTTCGAACTCGAGCCAGGCCTTGTCGGGCGGGCGCGGTAACCCAAGCTTCTCCAAGATGCAGACAAAGTCCTCCCCAAGTCCGAGATACATTTCATATATCACAGCAGATCATAGTATGGGATATCATGGTACATTATAGTGTATGATAGCATATTTGAGTCTTTTTTCTAATCTACTATGGTAAGTTATGGTAATTCAGGCTTCTCTTGGGTGGCTAGTTCGTCTCCCCGACGCCTGGAGCACCATTGTCTCCTGCTTCCTCATCTCCTCGTACACCTGCGATTACCAGTAGTAACTAGTAGTCGTCGTGGTGGTGGTGGTGGTAGTGGTAGTGGTAGTGGTAGTGGTAGTGGTAGTGGTAGTGGTAGTAGTAGTAGTAGTTGTTGGCAGCACGTGCGTCTGCCG